ATGACAAGGTACGGTTGGCCTTCCTGACTGCTTCCCCACACTGCCGACCCATGTTCATCTTGGAGTCAATGATGACTCCTAGATCCTTTTCCACCTCCGTGCTGACAAGAGGGGAGTTCCCCAACCTGTAGGTATGGTGCCGGTTGTTCCTCCCCAGGTGCATCACTTTGCATTGTCCATATAGAATAAATGCACTTTAAATAAACTCTGTTGTTACATTTTGAGTTCTTTTATATGCTTTTGTTTATCGATTGATTGAAAGTACTGGCCTTCATAAGTTTTATTTCACTTTAAGACATGGAAAACAGACAAAATATGACCCTAGTTGTGGTCCTTTTACCCATATAGATCCCTGTTGACCTGATTTGAAATTTGGGTGTAGGATCAGTGGGAGAACTCATAAGACTTATGACTTCCTCAACCATCCAGACCACTAGAATTAACTATTTCTACATTACTTATCCCACTTACACTGTCCTTATCTGATATCTATTTCAAGAGTCTGACAGACAGGCCTTGTGGAGTACTCTCAAATTCAAGGTACTTAGATTATATTAGACAAGGGGGCAAAGTTCAAATTGCCAACTTCTTACCAAAAATACTTTATCAGCATCTTGTTTTTAAAGGAAGTTTTTTAAAGTGGAGCCATTAATTCAAGTGCTTTACGTGATCGTGACTGCTGCACCATCACACACAGGACCACAGTTTCTAAAGTAAGCAAAGCCCATACCAATTAAAGTTAAAGCAAACATCCTGAATTGCATCTGAAAGTTCATTGACAGCCAAGGCTGATCACAGCACAGACGCACTGCACGTCCCTCAAGAAGCACCACGGAGTGAGTGGACTGCTATATTCTGCACTACCTGAAGTTTCCAAATGGTCTTTAGATGAAGCTTTCATAGAGCACATTGCATAATTCAGGCCTGAGAAGACAAATACACAAAACATAGCAAAGTTGACATTAGAGAGAGAGGTATAGATGTGTCACTAAGGTCACCTGGAAGAGATATATGTAAGTGGACATTTCGCACATTTCTGTGAAATGTATAACGTGAATATATGTGAGTGTTACAAGCACTTTTTAACTATTGTTGCTTTTATCTCTTACATAATTTAAACTTATCAAGGAACAACTTAGAATAAACATGGTGGTTGAAGAAAATAATTGTCTTTGATAGAAAAGGCAAGTAACCTTCCTTTGCTCGCTCTTTTTAAACAGACCAGCATCTGAATATTCCAGTCCAGGCAGACCTCTGAGCTGCTTTGTAGATGAGAACACACCAATTACAGGGACAAACGGTGCAACATGTGGGCAGTCATCAGATCCCAGACTGGCAGAGAGAAGAGTCAGGTCACAAAGGCACAGGAATTACATGAGCCGAACACACTTACATACTCCTCCTGACTTGCCTGAAGGATATGGTGAGTTGAAATATAATTATTCTAGACCTTTTCCAAGAAGTTTGGTAGATGAGGCTCTCTGTTCTCCTAATTTTTTTACATTTTTTCCTCTAATTTATATATCTGATTAAAATACTGATGATCCCTGATTGCAGGTTTAATGGAAAATCCTAAATTGAAGATTGCATATGAGATTACTGTATAGTCTTTCTGTGAACTAGTCCAGCACTTTTCCCTTTGCTTAATTCTCTGCACAGTCTAGTAGTATATAACTAATAACAAGAGGTTCTTCTTCCCTGTCCTTTTTCCCAACCAGATAAAGAAATATGCCAGATAGACACCACTAATGAACTATAGACAAAAACAATAACTACCACTGGAGCTGTTAAACTTTGTCTTGGTATTCTCAGGCTATTTTTTCTCAATAGTAAGATGACTGAACATTGATAATTAATCAGTCATACTCATTTGCAGTTGAAGAAACATGTAACACAATAGTCAAATAAGGACACTTAAGTCTGTTTTGTAGTTGCATTAAATGAAGAACTTTACTGTGGTGCATTACCTTAGCTTTTTAAATATCAAACTGAATTTCAATTAAAAGCATAATTCTGGTTGCTTACATCCCCTATTCAAATTAACATTGTATGTTTGGGGCTTAGAAAAGGAGGAAGAACTCTGAAAAATAAGAAGAGAAACCAGAGAAAGAGATCTTCCTCCCATTTTTTAACTAGCAGGACTGGAGGGATCAGTCCATCGCCCATTGAAGTCAAAGGATATCTTTCTACTTAATTTCCATGAGAGGTGGGTCAGACCATATCCCAGCCTGGTGGAAAACCTTCCTTTTCATTTTCCTCATATTGCAGTTTATTTGGGAGGTTAAGAACTAGAGTGAGGAAGCCTAGTGTCAATAGAAATGAGTATTGAAATAAAACTGATTAGAGAGAAGTAAATAAAATTGTGGAACCCACAAAAAAAATAGAGATTTTTACCCGTCTCTTAGCAATTTTTCACTTATCTTTGTTCTGTTGTACTTAAAGAAAACATTGCTTTCTTTTGATAAAATGGTATTGTATTTTGTAAGTTGTTTTTTTTAATAATAGATAAAGTGCAACATTTGCATTTAGTGTGGGTATATTGTACAACTCCATTATAATAACACTTATGTTGTGGCACAACAATACCAAAAAGATGTGGAAGGAAAGGAAAACAAATGGTGCCAAAATTTACAGTGGAAGGGATCACATTTATGAGTCTAAAGTCATTGAATGTAAACAACCTGAAGGATTTCAGGCCTATCTCATGCTTAGTGGCTGCCAGCAAAATATTCGTGGCCAGATTATTCAGAGATATGAATCATCCTCAAGATCCCCAACAATGTCTGCAGCTATTTTTTGTATTCCAGTGTACAAGCAGGGCTCAGTAGGATGTTAAAAACTGCTGCCAGTTGGCAGCAATCTCAAATTGGGTAAGTAAAAGGGGAAAGAACCTCTTCATCACATGATTAGACTATTCACAGGCGTTTCATTCAGTTCTTCCCTCCATATTCAGAATGCTTAAGCAAAGTATGTAAGAGTTGTGCAGTCTTGTGCATGATGAAGACCTGATGTGTGCAAGCTGTATGCAAGCCAGCTGTATGCAAGCATCAAGGTCAAAAGTATGATATAGATCTGAGTCTGATCTGCAGGAGGATCTTCCAAGGAGAGAGCCTGAACCTGTGGTGGTTCTACCTAGTTCTTAACCTCCTGAGATAAATGTTTGGCTATAATTATTCAGTCAACAAACAGTAGCTCAAATTGACACAGCTAGGCTGTGGATGTATGACCAAATGACTTGATTCTAATGCAAGCCAACTCCAGAGTGTGATAGAAATTGTGAACTCCTTCAGTGGTTCCATATCAATGAGCTTTGGATTGAAAATGTGCTGTGTTATTCTTTCAATGCAGAAGTCAGGTAAAGTAAACAAATTTGAAGCTCATGGATGAAAACAAAATCAACAGGACATGAAGAGGGTGTAGTGATATTAGGGATTAAACCAGTTTTTGAACATCAAGCATTCCAGAGTACAAGAAATGTTGACCAAGAGGTTGTTCAATAGTTTGGAACATCTTGAGGGCTGACTTGAATTTCAGAAACACAGTTGTGGCAATAAACAGCTGGCTTATACCCATGCTGGCTTAAATTTTCAATATACGCAAAAGATTGAAGGTAAGTCTGGAAGCCCTGATCAAGAAAGTGATGGCATCTTTTTTAGAAGGTATTGCATGCACCATCCAAGCTGCTTCACTGAGAGACACTCTATATATATATATATATATA